CGACCATCAACGATCTCTCGGCCGGTGTCAACGCGCTCTCGTCCGACAAGTCGGAGCTCGCAGCGGCCAAAGCGAAGCTCCAGGAGGAGACGACAAACCTCCTGGCGCGCGTAGCCGCCTTGGAAACGGCGATGCAGACGCAGGAGACGAACGCCAAGTCCGACATGCAGGCGCTCGAGACGCGGGCGGTCACGGCCGAAGCCGCTCAAGAATCCAACGCGACGACGATCCGGGAGCTGCAAACCACTATCGAAGGACTCTCGACGAGCGCCCTCTTCAAGCGTACGCAAGAGCTCTCGAAACAAATCCGGGACCTCGAGACACAGCTGCACCGACTTGGGTCTTACTAGCGACTAACTCTCTCAACATTGCATATTTCATTCAAATCGTTGGCGTGTCTCATAGCCCTTGGATCTATGACAAGCGCTTTGCGCATTAGTACGTGGTAATGTGCGCAAACGGCGGTCGCCAGTAGTTAGTCACATTTTGAGTTTCTACGTTGAGTTTGTGACTGGGCTACACTGCGGATCTCTCAAAAAACGGGCCAGCGCGGGTTGTCGGGGTCGTCGTCCTCTTCGTAGAGCATTATGAGCACGTCGTCGTCGCCGGACGCACTCGACTCGTCGTCGTCGGCCACCGACGTGCACTCGACGCGAAGATCCGTGCGGCAATGTGACCGCATGAAATCTGCAATGTCGTCAAAGCCCGCGTCCCGCGTTTCGGCGACGCCGGCCTCGGTACCGCCCTCAACACGGTGCTCGTGGAGCCACTGAACGACGTTCAGGAAGCCGTTCTTTGCGGCGTCGTCCATGGCCGCCGTCGAGCAGCCCTCGCGTCGGTGCACATGGAGGAAGCGGACGATCTCCAGATGACCGTTGGCCGCCGCGCCGTCCATTGCATGCGTCGAGCAGCCCTCGTTTCGATGTTGATGCAGCCACTGGACGGTCTCCAAATGCCCATTCGTGGCTGCGCTGTTCATGGCGCGGCGTGAGCAGCCTTCGTGGCGGTGCGTGTGCAGCCACTGCACGATCTCCAAGTGTCCGTGCGCGGCCGCCGAGTCCATTGCGCGGACCGAGCAGCCTTCATCACGGTACGTGTGCAGATAGCGCACTACGTCGAGGTGGCCGTTCCCGGCAGCTGCGTCCATGGCGGCCACCGAACAACCGACCGTCCGATGCTCGTCGAGGAAGCGGATGGTATCCAAGTGGCCGTTCGCCGCGGCGCCGTCGATCGCGCACACGCTTGGGCTGAGCGACGTGTGCGTATGCAGATGCCAGAGCACCTCAAGGTGGCCGTGTGTCGCGGCAGCGTCCATGGCTCGAAACGAGCCCGGCGCCGCGGCGAGGAGGCGCGTGAGCAGCCCCATGTGGCCGATCGTGGCCGCGTAGTCGACTGCCGCCGACGTGCCTTTAGTCCACGCAAGCAGCCACTCGACGAGCTCCATATGCGCATACCGCGTCGCGCAGTCGACGGCCCGCGGCGTGAGATGCGTCGGGTGGCAGCGGAGCCATCGCTGCACGACGCGCAGGTTGCCTTCAAAGAGCGCCAAGTGCAGCGCGAGCGCGTTAAGGCGCGCAGGCTCCAAGCACAAGTCGTCGGAGCTCAGCGTGCGCGTCCGGTACGCGGCAAAGTACCGTTCGGGCAAGATCAGCTGCAGCGTCGTGTCGGCTTGCCACGTGCAGCCGCGTCGTCGTATGCCCATGGCCTCGGCAGCAAGCGGCGCGAGGTCCTCATAGATGCCATCTTGGTAGGCATGCACGAGCAGACGCAGCTCGGGGTTGAGCAGCACGGCCCGGCAAAGTGAAGCGTCGACCGTCGGCCGCGGCTTCTTGCGCCGGCGAAGGTCCGCCATGCCACCTCTGCTGCGATTGGCCGAAAAGCAGCGAATCAGCGTCGCAAGAAATAGAAAG